AGACAGAGAGACAGGCAGAGAGACAGACAGAGACAGAAAGACAGACAGACAAACAGACAAACGCAGACAGACAGAGAGACAGACAGACAGACAGACAGACAGACAAACACAGAAAGAGGCAGGCTCAACAGAATCCTCCACAAGCATTTTATACTGTAGAAGGACAGCGCCTGCTGCAGACAGTCTGACAGCACATTCTTCTACACACAGACTCCACTGTTATGCTTGCCAAATAAATATGTTGGCTTGGGAGGAGGCGTGTGGGAGGAAATGGAGGAAGTGAGTGAACGACGCACAGGGAGAGTGAACAGAAGAACGTCAAAGCCATATAAGTCTTGAAGATCACTCACACTGGTGCCGTTGAGGAAATTGCCGATGGCCAGCAGTGTGGTCAAGATGTAGCGGAGTGTCCTGTTTTTCTCTAACTGGTCCATCCCTTCCTTCAGGTCCTGTAGAGGCTCGGCCACTTCCTGAAACAGTATGAAAACACATTTCAATAAGGATGTTACCTGTTCGCATTTCTGCTAATTAATTCTGCTCTTCTTCTCTCCTGATCAAGATGCACAATATGATGATCAAAAAGAGGAATTGGTGTTTAAAACAATTATTAGCGTGTTAGAGGAAAAACTTAACACAACTGTCATGTCTGTATGGAAAATATGAAGCTACAGTCAGAAGTCTGTAGTCTGTTCGCTTGGCTTAATATAAAGAACAGAAACATGAGACACTGCTAATGTTGCCTTACTCTGTCACAGTCATGTCACCAGGCCAACAGACAGTCCCACACTGACTTTATATAAAGATGGACGACATGACAGCTCCCTTAAAGTGAAGCCAAATCATCTTGATCTCCACCTGGTGGCTGGATGCAGTATAGTTCATAAACCCTGCCTCTTCTATGTTGGCAGATCACATGATATTAGTCTTATTTGATGCATGATTGACAGCTAAGACTGACTTGTGATTGGTCAAGCGTGTGTATCAGCAGGACCTCGTACCACAGCTCTATCTCTTGGTCGGAGAATGTGGCTCCAAAATTATGTTGATCGCGGAACATGGATACATTTTATCTTCACAAATAAGTGGAGACTTGTCCTCTATCTTTATCTCTGGAGCTTCATATCTACCTCCCAGACCTGAAAGTGTTATCAACATTCCTCTGTAACTCCTGGCATGGAGGCAACTATGCCCCAAGAAATTCACAACAGCATGTACAGTATATTATAAAGAAAAAAAAAACCACAATAATGTGTGGTGCTCCGAAGTGTGATGTATCTGCATGTGATCAGAGTGAGCAGGAATGAGTCTGACCTTCTCTATAAGCTCATAATCCATCTTGAATGCCCACAGCTGCAGGCGAGCAGACAGCTCTGTGATGGAGGAGAGGGTGAGCAGGAACTGCTCAGCGCTGCCCAGGGGAATATCAGGGTTGACCAGCTGAGCCTCCTGGATCCTTTGCTTCTCCTCCTCTGTGGGGATCATTGTCAGGATTTTCTGGACCAAAGAAGGGAGAAATGAGAGGAGGGGTTAGGAACGGAGCAGGCTCATAGATTCCTGTTTTTCAGTGTCTGTGTAAAAGGTTTTACATTATATGTCAGGGAGTAAATCATAAAGATGGAGGGGGAAAAAAACAATGCTGGCATTTTTAACTCTGTTTATCTACGATGTTTCCAGCTTCCCCACAAACTTGTGTGACATCTGAACTTTCAACCTCGTGTTCGTTGTCTGGCTGAATATCCCTCCAGAGACAAGAGGTGGAGAGGAAACCTCCTCTCTGCTGAAAATGAATTCAAGCAGGAGCTCTGAAACCTGCAGGTTATATAACACCAAAGTGATGACAACACCGACCATTACCTGCTGACGTCCCCCATAGGTTTGTATGTCTTTTTAAAACAAGCTGAAAATCTCTGTGATTAATGAGATCAGGCAAAAATCCAGCCCTGCAGCCAGAAAATCACATGATATGTCAACATTGTGTGCTGTCCAGTGCTAAATCTCTAGTTCAGGGGAATCCACCAGTGTATTTTAGTGTGCTGGGTTAAATATCATTCATGAAAACTGTATTTATTTTGGACCCAAAGAGCATGAATGGGTTTAATGTGATGTGATTGCACTAGTCAGTACTTAGAATATGCAGAGCAAATTTTAATGTATGTGTCCAGAGACAGAATCCCATTAGAAACTGAAAGGGCATTCAGAAAGCGCATAGCTCCACCAAGGGTAAAGCCCTGTCTTGCAATGATAGAGAAGAAATAAGATTTATTGAATCTGCTCCAAAAGTTAAAAGGTTTTTTCTTGATTCATATGCCACCATTCCACCAAGTTTTAAAAAAAGACAAACAGCAATTCAGTCAATCAATCAAACAATCAATCAATCAATGCTTACCTCAATTCCCTCCTTGTTTAGTGCGTACTCATCAAAGTTGAGGATGGCAGTCTTGATGGTGCGGGGAGGAGGTAAGACGGTCAGGCCTATGTTTATGGCGTTGCTCCTTTTTGAATCCAGGACGATGATTTCTTGTCGTTTGCCATCAACAGCTGCTTTCTATGAGAAACACAAAATGCCATCAGAAATAAAAAACATGAAATCATGTCTCTTGAAAGGTTGACAGAGTTCTTCATAGTTCAAATACTTTAATGCAATACATATAAAAACATTTTCACAAAATGGAGATGTCGCTCACTACAACAAAGTCGTCTGTTCCTCTCATTACAGAAGACGAGATGATTGGATAAGCTTTTTTGATTTAAAAAACAAAATCAAAAGGCTTCATTGTCTTATAGTGAGCATGAAAGAGTTCTCAAACCGCGGGTGGAGCTTAAGGACAGTAACTTACAGTCATGGGATTTCTGAATACTTTGATTCTTGTGTGTGTGTAAGTGTGTGTGTCGGGGGATTATTTGCCCTGATGCTGGTGCTGCAGGAGGTGTCATTGAAATAAAACTAACAAGGAGTTAGTGAAGAGCTTAGAATCCATAATTTCAGCCCTGAATTATCTCACTTATAGAGAGAAGGGCTCCTCTACACACAATTATCCTTTTAGATGTCTGATCGCAGGAAGGCCTGAGCTGACTGTGAAATAAACCAGCTTTCTTCAAAATGCTATGTTAATGCTACTGTGAGAACAGAACAGTACTGAGTTACCTTCGTGACAGGCAGCTCCTTGGATTTAGACTCAAACAGCTGCTCCAGTTTGGACGTGTCCAGTTTAATTGGCTCCAGTTTGGACCAGAGGGACTCCTTACAGAATTTATGGCTTTTACACTGCCAGTCCACAGGACGCACCTCGTTCCAGAAGAGACGGATTGTCTTCTTCTTCTTCTGGAAGAGAGGCACCTCCCCTCGACTGAGCTGAGGGGAGGGTGGAGGGATAGGGATCATGAACGGTGGGGGTGGCGGCATCATTTTGCCAAGCATAGGGGGAGGCGGTGGGCACCCAAACAGTGGTGGGGGTGGTGGCAGGGCAGCGTTGCACAGAGGAGGGGGAGGTGGTGGTATCAGGTCACTTGACCCCATCATACTGTCCATATCTAAAATGTCCAGGTCGTCCTCCTCCCTCAGGTCCGTGAAGTCAATTTCTTTGATCCGCAGCTCCCTGGGAGATGCCATCAGCTGATCCCAGATATAATCCGACTCTTTCTTTGGAGGTAAAGCAGATGAAGCAGCGGTTGATGAGGATTTGTCCGTCTGCTGCTGCTGCTGCTCTTTTGAGGCCTCCACCTCAGGAAATGTCAAGCCTTTGACCAAATCTCCAAACTTCTCTGCCACTGCTCGGACACTGCCCTGGTTGTCTAGATGTCCCACCTCCATCTTCTTCACATTTTCCTCTCTGGCTTGTCTGTGAGCCTCCAGGGTGGAGATCCTGCTGGCCAAACTAGCCACAGCGGAGTCACTGACCTCTGTCTCCTTCTCGCACTGACATTTCTCTTTCTCTGTCTCACCGACATTCTCTTCATCCACGTTGGGCGCTGTCTGAGCGTAGAGCATGTCCAGCATGAAGAGCTTGCTGTTGAGAATTTTGTTGCACTGGTCGTTCACATCTGCGTCTTTAATGCACTGAGTCCATTGACCTGTTGATGTTGGAATGGACACAATTTTAATTCAAAGAGAAATAAAAATAGATTATAAAAGTAAATAATAATAAAATCAAAATAAATAATAAAATTTGCACCAATCATACCTGCGTCAATATCACCACTGAGCTTCTCCTCCCGCTCCTCCCTCTCCAGAGTGCTACTCGTTGAAGAGATGCTAGATGCAGAGCAGTTGTCTTTTTCATTCACCTCTTCATTCTGTCTCTCCTTCTCACTCAGCAGCACACTGTCTTCTACATCCCTTTCCATCGGCTGCTCCTTCTCACACTCCTCTAACTCCACATCCACCTCCACATCCGTCTCTCCCACCTCTGTTACGTCTGCTACCTCTGCTTCTTCTACCTCCACTTCTTCTACCTGCTCTTGCACCTCTGCCTCATCCCTGCACTGTTCCTGCTCCTCAGGCTTCTCCTGCTCCGGTCTCTCCGGTCTCATCTCTCTCTCCGTGCCGGACTGTTCATCTGATGCCGGCTCTGCCACTACATTCTGGTGAGACTCAGCAACATCCTCCGTCTCTGCAGGCGACTCTGACTTAGTCTGCTGCTTCTCTGTCTCGGGGGAGGGAGGTGTGGGGGGAGGTCCCGATACTGTTAATTCTGGCGCTGGACTTTTGTTCCTTGTCTGTGGGTCAAGGTTTGGCTCTGAGATGTGGTCTGTTCCTGGAAGAGAAATGAAAACAATGAGCGAAAGAAAAGTTACTTTAAATACTTCAGTTATGTGCGTGAAACAGCTTTAAATTGCTTCCTGATATGTCCTTAATTGCACTGAGAGATTGTCTGAACACAATGTACATTTTCAGACTGTAGAAGTGATTCACAAAACTCCTAAAAAAGGAATCAGAACCTCAATAAGGTGTGTTTATACAACTCAAATTTCTTCAATAACAAACAATATCTATATTTCATAATAATAAGTATAAAATTTGATATGCATTATAGAGTTGAGTACTTATATCTTAGATACACAACAAATAAATTACGAAAAAAAGAGATGAAAATATATCAAATAAGAAAATATTTAAAAAAAAAATAGAAAGAAAAAATAAATACATGAAAATTAAAATATCAAAATTAAAAACAAAAGACATAAAAAATATAATATAACTTTTAAAAAGGAAATGAAAAAAATATTCATTCAGCAATAAATCGAATAGCCGGGTACTCTTTCACAACAAGCTAATTAAAATCTTGCTTTTGAAAGACCAGACCAGAGAGTGGATCCATAATCACTGAAAGCATCATAGGCTGATTCCTCTGATAATAATAGTGATGAAAAAAAACGGCTCACCTAACGTTTGGTGTGCAGTGGTGACGGTGTCTTCCTGTGAGATGATGGACGAAGGCGTGGCACAGCGGGATGCTGAACGGCTGGCGGGATTGGAACTCAAACACAACGTGATCTCTGTCCGTCCGCGTGTTGGCGCTCTGGGCCGCTCCCGCTCAAACTCCTCTGCAGCTAACCTCTCCACAGCCTTGTACCTGCAATCATAACACGTGGGATTCACATGTATGCTGATCTGCAGTAAATGTTAATGTCTGTTTGAATCTCAACTCAGCTATTTGGTGGTTGTGGTATAATGAAGTAGAAACATAAAATAGTACAAGCAAACTGGAATTATTCTTTTTTTTTCTGTTTAACATTCCTAGGCTCGCTGATCTCAGTTCACACTTTTAAATTGAGATGCCTGTTCCTGTTCACAAGAAAGAAGGTGTGGCATGAGAAAGGGCTATAAATTATACCATGCACTCACTCGCACACACACACACACACACACACACACACACACACACACACACACAGACTTAGACACGGTTAGAGGGAGATAACCACACCACATCCATGGCAAAACACAATTACACACTTGTCCAGTTAACATTTGGACGTCTTAATGGTGAGCAGGTCCAGAGGGGGGCCCTGACGACTATAACTCAGTCAGAGCTTGGGTGCAACTTACTTTACATCTGCGATCAATTTTAGAAGAAAGATCTCAAAGCATTTAAAAACCACCTCAAGTTTTTGATCTACCTTCACTAGCGCAGCACTATTGTGAACCTGAAAACCATGAAATACAATAAACTCACCTTTCTTCTCGGGCTTGTCGAACTTCCTCCAGCTTGTCTGCGTAATTTCGACTGAGACAGAACGAAGAGAACAGAGCCAGAGGAGAGACAATTTAGAACCTGCATTCATAGCCGACATAAATTATGACTTTCTTTTAAAATGTGATGATTACTTAACCGAGAGTGAGAACAGCAAATAAAGCAAACTGAGCATCATAAAATGCTGAGACAACACTCAATAGATAATTGTCCTCCTGCCATGACTCATTCTATTGAAAATAAAAGATAGTTCAGTGTCTCTTAGACTCATTGGAGATTTATAATTATCCCTCCTAGCCCTAAAATCGAATGTCTCAATTGGCAAGTAAATAAATATGTCCTCTGTCATATAAAGTCATGCAGTGTTTCGTCTTGACTTGTAAGGTGAGACTGACTTGAAGCGATTCCTCTCCTCTCTTTCAATTCTCTGCAGACGCTCTTCTCTTTCCAGGCGTCTCCGCTCTCTCTCTGCAGCCAGCGATTCTTGATGCTGTCGGTACGATGAAGATAGCAAGCCCCCTAAAGTGGGTCTACATACCAAAGGGAAAGAAAGAATATTATGTGATTACATATTTACAATTGAGTGATTGGTTTGTGTGTTTATTTAAATCAAAGTCGATATGCCGACCTGTCGGTTTTGGGGTCCGGTGTGGAGGTTGCTGAACTAGAGAAGCGATGGACGGCAGATGCGGGAGCCTGGTGCCTGCCGGGGTATGGAGTGCCATTGGCATTGATTCTGTAAAAAGAAGGGAAAAATAAAGGCTTTGTTCTCTCCTAATATATTTTCCCACTGAGGACAGAAACGACAGCACTTCAAGAATCTGTGATGTGATGTAAATTCCAATGTCCTGTGGCTGGACAGTTTCCACTGAGATATGACTGTGTTAAATAAAAGAACAGAGCTCAAGCCCAAAGCATCTGAACAAGAAGAAACTCATGCAATCAAACAGGTGCATCGCTCCTCCATGTCTGTGCATAACTTTTTTCTCTGGGGCCTTGTCCTTGCTGTGTTTAATCCAAAAGTAAACTGTGCTAATTTTGTCCGAGAATAGTTTCTCAATACATTGTGTGTAAATTTAAAATAATAAAAATACAAAAATTAAAAACCTCAGAAACTGTACACCATGTCCCCTGACCTCTTACCTTTCAGCCCAGCAAGGCTTTCTAGCTGTGTAAGATGGAGAAGAGCTGTTTGTATCTGTAAGACTGATGATGGAAGTGAAATAGAAAAGAGAGAGTAACAGTCAGATCAGAAACCCCAAAGATTGAAATAGTCAAATGTTAGAAACACGGACAAGATAGTGAGACAGTGGTAGAAGGTTTTAATGGGCTGCAAGACCACACAACGATGAGGCTGACAGTGGGAGGGCGGGATCTATCTCTACTTTGTCTCATCTATTCTGTGTGCTGTTTAGAAAGCAGTGAAACTATTGTTCATCTAAATAAATGAAAACGTTTTAAAAGCTTTGTGTATTATTGTCCACTGCACAGAAACAGGGAAAGATTTCTGCTGCCACGGCATCAGGTGTTAACCCCGAGGAACTGCTCTGCTAATCCAGATCTGGTTGCCTGTTACTGCAACAGATCTCTGCTGTAATACAAACGACTTCGAGACAAGTGACTTCATTGAGTCAATGCTTAGAATTAATTTATTGATTTGTCTCGGATTAACTGTGGTGTAGACGCCACAACCAAAGACAGATGAGCGGCAAACGTCTGTTAAATAATTCTTTCCAGCAACTGAGGAGAGCATCTTTGGTGATGACAGAAGAAGCATTAATCACATCTGAATAGTTTCTGGTCACTATGACCAAGAAAACATTTTTAAAGGATGAAGGAGGTAGAGAGGAACAAAGCTAAAGCATGTCAACAGTGTAACACAATTTAAAAGAATACTATTAGAACAATAATCCTTTGGCATTAAAATAATCTGCTGTTCTTATGATGCTGATATGTGTCTCTGCTGAATGTACAGTGAGTTAGAGATGCAGACACCAGTGATGGGGGAGGATCGTGTGTTGCACATTGTGAGGTGTGTAATGTACACTAGCTCCTGTCCACTACCTGTACTGCCTTTCTCTGTCTTTGCCCTTCTCACTCTCTCTGCAAACTCTACAAACACCTGGCTCTGTTTCAGGTCAGTGGATGGAGGGGGAGGTCAGTGGAGAGGGAAGGAGGGGGGGTGAGGTTGGTGTAGACTGACACTGAGGGTGTGCAGACTCTGGCATTCCACTCAAAGCAACAGGGGAGACACAGTCTGGTGGCTGGAGGGTGGGGGGGGAACACACCAAGGACTAAAGGTCCTCTTTTTAGGTGCGACGGACACAGGAGAGGACGTCCTGGTCTTGACGCTGAGATAATCTCTCTGCCCTTCAGGGTCACTGGCTTTAGGGAGGATGGTCATACACTTTAAGTTCAAACACATGATAGGAGAGTCTGCTACAGCCGGAGCCACACTAGGATGACAAAATACAAGAGAGCAGGAGTCCAAATGGGTAGAGGGAAAGAATCATACTGGTAATCTATGGCCCTGTTCTGACCTGGTGGTACCATCTGTCCAGAGAGATCCAATCACAAGAGGACAGCGTTAAATACGTGTACTCACATCAGGCATTAAAATGCATCCTGAATGTGTCTCCTGTGATCGCACTTGTCATCGGATCTCCAACCTCGCTCTATGTGAAACAAACATGTAGGTCATTTACCCAGTCTGAGTTTACAGATGTGTACAATGTCACTGTGTGTGTCGATGTGTGTGTGTGTGTGTGTGTGTGTGTGTGTGTGTGTGTGTGTGTGTGTGTGTGTGTTGGCATGAGTAAGCTAGATAGACAGAGAGAGGGGCGGGGGGAATGAATGGATCTTGTGGACCATTTAAGAAAAGTATTATCCATTATGTGTTGATCAGAATTGATATTGTTGCAGTGGCCACAAACAAGTCAACGTGTGGACACTGGGAAGCAGGACGATTTTCATAGTGAAACTGTGGCAGGTCAGCCCAGTAGGACGTGTATCATATGTAACTCAGGACAGATTTGCGTTCGCACAGCGAAAACAATGTGGCCCCTGTGTGTCCCAAACTTCCTCCTAATGTCATCTGAGTGATCACATCTCAGGACACATGATGGTGCGTTCAGACCTGCACTGAACGCTGATCACATGCTATCGATTCAGTCTGGATGGATGTTAACACCAGGTCTGAACAGGGTCTAAGTCAGAGCAACTATGCAGATGTGAAGGGAATGAGAGATTGGGTCACTCTGCAGCAAACCTGTTGACCTAAAATACCTGTGAGCGCCCTGTCTAGAGGACTCAGTGACTGGATGACTTTCATCATCTGCCTCTTCGTCCTCCACCTCCTCCTCCTCCTCCTCCTCCTCTCCCTCCTCCTCCTCCTCTCCCTCCTCCTCCTCGTCTTCTTCTTCCTCCTCCTCTTCCTCATCTCTGTGGTGAGAGAAGGGGGTCGAGGGTTGAAAGGAGGGAAGGGAGGATGTAGGCAGGCGAGAGAAGGGAGAGAGATTGGACAGGACAAAATGAAGACACACAGAAGACGATGGCCCAGAAGAGACACCACACAGAGATGACACTGAAAACATGCTTGTCAGAAGAGAAGTAGACATATTAGTGAGAGGAAGAGAAGATTAGTAGGTTTTGACAAGACTGTTTCTTCAAGTATTAATGATTTATAGTTACCATTACATTCAGGAACAACCTCTACAATAGCGTTAACATAAAAAACTACAATTTTCATTAAATACAATGAGATTGAGATTCAGAAAGCAGTGTTTGAGCTGCAGGGCAGATCTTCTGTGTTTGAACAGATACATGGTCATACATGCGTCTGCAGCCATTTAGATCCCTTGTGGGTGTCTGGATTTCATTAACAACACGGAAAATGTTGAACTTCAAAGCCGCCTTGAATTTCCTGTGGTGGACTGGAAGAAGCTAGTCTGGTATCATATGACCCTGCTGGATTGAATTTAAGTTTACCTAGTGCTACCAGAAATATTAGCAGGTATGCTACTTTATGCAGCACTGAGAGAGACAGTAATCAGTAGTGGTGTTAAAGACAAAAATCTAGGTGAAGCATAATTTTCAGTGTAACATTTAACATTTTCGTTTTTTCTGCTGCTGTTATAAAGCACAGAGCAAGCGACTGTATAATTAAACAAGATTGTAATTAGCTTTTTGCCTGAGTCACCGGTTGTGGTTTTTGGAGTTTTGGTTTGTTGTATATAAAACAGACGACAGTGTGGAGTAGAGGCTCGCTGCACTCTCACTGAAGGATGCAGATATCATGTGTTTACAGAAGCTTCCTGTTTCCATCAGTGGCAGGAGAATGTCTTTGATGGTGAGGAAAATTAATTTAAATGTCACTATGCAGGAGCAGTCTCCTCTTTGTCTTTTCTTTTAAATTACTATATAATTAAATTCTCTGAATTGGATCTGGATCAGTGTGACTGAAACCTAATACAACACTTCCAGTCAGGATGTTTCCTGTGAATGAGTAATACTTCATAGACCCAGGATTAATTTGTGATTCCTATCTCATTGCAGTTACCTCTTCGGGTTTAAAATATAAAACAAATCCAACAGTCTGAAGCTCCTCTTAATAAAGAGGATTAACTCAAATTCAAGCTAAAATGGAAGCAAGGACAATATTTTTTCTTCTTCTCTTGGACATCCTCCATTTTTCCATTCCTCTCTGTCCTCCTCCCGTCTCACCTTTCACTGATGTCTTCAACACCTTGGCCACCGAATGGCAGGAAGCCCCTTGCATGAGTGTGTGGGCTGCTGGGCGATGCTGGGGCGGACGCGTGGCCTCTGCTGTTCTGGAGCGAATGTCTCCGGCTGCGTCTTCTCTCAAGGCCGCGTCTTTCGTTGGTGCCGCCAACACTGGACCGTCTGCGGTCTTTTCGGCCGCTGGGAGGCAGCTGGGCTTCGTCATCACCATCCTCATGGCGCAATGTCGTCTGGGAGGACGAGCAATCAAAGAGAAACGGAGTAATGAACTTGTGTGTGTTGTTCATTGATGCACACTTAATTACTGGTACGGAGCCTATTATAACAACTGACTAATATTACATCAAAGTTTTTTGTGATGGGAGAATGGCAGTGGTAGTGTTGGCTTTTCCAACCTCGTAGATGTTGAACTGTTCTATAAGGTCGAGGTCCGTGCCCTTCCTGCTCAGGTGTCTCTGGGCCATGGCTTCGATGCACTGTTCCTCCAGACAGTCCACCATGTCATAGTATGAGTCCTGGTCTGGGAGGCCTGCCAGAGTCTGAACCACAAACACATACAGATTTAACTTCTCAGATAAAAGTTGTGTTCTTGCCTTGTATTTAAACTTTTTTTGTAAATGTGGTCTGAAAGTTGACATTTCAGAAAGATAAAAATGCACTGTGAGTTGGATAGAGTATTGGAATTCAGGGGGGGACATGCAGTATTCATATGGAAAGTATTCACTAAATAGAATTCACTGACCTTATTGATGAGTGTCATTGCATACACCAGCAGCTCCGTGTCAACTCCATCTTTCTCATCGAGGATCTCCACAACGTTTGACCACAGCTTTGTGACTGCAGAAGCACAAAACTGACACTGTTGAACACTGAAAAACAATAAAGTCTAGAGGATGTATTCATCTTATAGGGTGAAAAACTGCTGCAACCATTCAGCTCCACTACTGTGCAGCAAAAAAAGAAAAATAAATCAACTGTTATGTCACCTCATGGCTCCCTGAGGTGAAATACAGTTTCCCTCTAGAAAAGTGACAGAAGACAAACAGCACTGAGAGAGAAGCAGCTCTGTGCCTCAGCCACGAGGGTCAAGTCCACCCCCTTCTCATCAGGGGACTGCGGATCAAGTTCTTCTTATGCAACAGCAGAAGTGACGGGATAAAACACAGCAGAGATACCTGACCCCTTCACATTGATCCTCAACCCCAATGTTTCATGCCACAGTGCAGTGTAGAGCCTTCAGAGCGGCAGGTAACTGAACCCCACTGCAGGCGGGAGTTTACAGTCTGTCTTGATAAGCCTCGTGCCATGCATGGCTGAGGAGCTGCTCAGGACAACTGATCTGACCACTGTGTAACAGGAGACTGATCTGTTATCAGCTGGACAGCTCTGCAGCTGCTGTGGTTGGTTTTATAGGCGGAATTAAACCAGTCTGTTAGTGATGATGTGCTGTGAGGTGATTCACATCCTATATTTTGAGTTATTGGCTGGTTTTCCTGAGCTCTTACCGCTTTTGGCGTCCACAACGCTCACAGCCTTGATGAGCAGCGCAGCATTAGACTCAGTGTACTCCACAAACACCAGCAGCAGCTTCAGCGCCGTCTTCACCACCAGACGGAACTGTGCAAAGAAAAAAAACAGTTAACACAGAAAATAATGAGCAGCACCACCAGCAACAAAATACAAAGACAAATCATGAAATTCAGCAGTACATGTTATATTTCATCTAAACAACCATGGGACAACTTAACACAGCATGTATTAGCCCTGAATACTAAAGGGCAATATTGTCTTAGAGAAGCTTTTCCAGTCTGAACAATCTTGAGTGTTGTTTGACAGCTCAGTGAAACATATTGTTCTATAGTCAAGCACTATGCAAATACCACAAAGGTAAAAATGACAATCTTTATATCAAATAATATCAGTGAAATTAAATAGTGAAACACAAATGAGTCTTGAAATACAGTAAGTATAAGGAAAGGCAGGACAAATGTTAAACCACTACAAAATGTGAATGGGAAAAAGGAGAGTTCTTCCCGGGTCCCAAAAGTCCCAGAAATGTTCTACAGAACCCGAAATCAAAACCAAACCCCGACCCGACTGACTGTACTGACTGATTCAAACTCATGCAGATCCCGAGTCGGGCCTTGAGTCTTATGGTTTGGGGTGGAGCTGTGAAGACCTCTAGAGAGAGTAAACTATAAAGAGGAGCCACGTAAAGTGTGAGTGAGTGAGAATCAACATAATTAAATAGGTGATTAACACTTCAGCATTAACTCATCACCTGTGAACAGATGCCACATCAGCAAGAAGACTGCACAAGCAACAGCCAAATAATTGGGGTCAACATTAGTATTGCTGATGGAACTTTGCCATACAGAAAGATGAGCATGACAGTATCATGATTTAAAAATCAAAACATAATAGTTGCCAATGATTATGTTAATATTTGCACAGGAATGCAGAAGAGAAAATTCATGAGAACAGAAAACAGTATGGGAAGAGGAGAGAGACATATCTGCAAATCTGCACCGTAACACAGTCTGGCCACTAGAGGGCTGAAGACCCTGATGACATGAGAGTTGCCTGCATGTTTACAAAGCAGAGGTAGTGAATTATCTGGTTATTTCAGCTTGGTTAGGTCCCAATGAGAGGATGCTGCAGAGTTGACTTTAAAGATCATCCTCTGAAGAGATGAGGCAGGGAACTCCTGAACATTAATCTTTCTTTACCTTGGATCCGACCAGGCTGTAAAGCCACTGGACCGTTTCATTGTGAGATATTAGGCCGTTCATCCCGTCCACGTACAGCATTATCTGACCGAGAGCTGGAGAGAGAGAGAGGGAGAGAGATGGGGTCTGGTTAATCATCTGCTATTCCAGTTGTTTTCTGGTACTTTAACAATCTGTTTTTAATTGATTGATGATGTCATATAAATATACAACAGACCAGATATTAGTCTGCATATGCAAAAAGACACATGCACACACAGAGGCACACTCACACAAACAAGCAAACTCATGTATTGTTAGTAAAAAGGGGTCAATGATATCTGTCCACAGTGATTTAACTGGAGCTGCTGCAGAGGTACATTTTACAAAAAACAGCACCCCCCCCCCCCCCATCCCTCAAGTTACAGAACACAACTGGGGGTGAAATGTTTGAGCAGAGCGCCTCACTGGACGCTGACATGACTTCCATCGGTAACAGGATACATAAATAAGAACATAAGAGCCAAGGGATCTCAGTGGGGGGGCGGTCAAAGTGAGGGGCAGTAAAAAAGTGTAGGACTTCTGTTAAAGAACATATAGATGGGGGAAGGGAGGCAAACACTGGAGGACAAGGGTGGGGAAGAAAACAAAAGTCTCCCTTTTAGTCCTTAGAACGGCATCTCTGTGGCCGAGCACACATGAGGAATTAATACAGTCAACAGAGATGAAAACAGCAAACGAGACGAGCTCAGCTTTAACCCGCTGCAACGTCAGGTGATACATTAGCTGACACGGGGGAAAAGGCTGAAACATAAACACGCAATCACAGTGACAGTGAAACAGGGCAAGTAGCTATGCTGCAAAAGAATCCAAAAATCCAGGAAAATAATAATTAAGATAGAATGGCACTCAATTGTTCCCTTAAATTCACTCATGGTGTACTAAATGTCACACATTCAGAGATATCCGATCTCTACGTGTACCTTTTTTAAAATCAAGATCCATGCATTATTCTCTGGGATAACAGTGAAAATTTATAATTTTGCTTAAAAAGAAAAACAACAATGCTCTTCAAAAAAACACCATCTACTCTCCTCTTGCTGTTTAGAGCAGTTTATATTTGACGTGTTATGGTGAGTAGCTGCAGCTTCTGTCATATTTTTCCCCTCCTCTTCTCTAGGGCATGAAAATCGTGAATATGCTGTGGATAAGCCAAAATTCCCAGGTGCAGCTGCTGTGTGTGCATGGTGCGTGGGTGTATGCATACATGCAATTGTGTGTGTGTGTGCCTGGCTCACTGCTGCTGCAGCGGCACTTCGTCTTTTATCGATCAGGGTTAATTACTCACAGCATGTCAGGCCCCAGCATTCCTGGCAGTCCTCTCCTTGATGCGAGCTCGGAGCTGTGTGTGTCACAGCAGTGGCACCGAAGTGTGTTTATGAAAACATGATTATCCCCCTAACTCAGCGTGGGCCAAGGTGTCACCATGTCCATTAACCCTCCCCACACACACACTTTGTATGGGACGGCTGATGACGGATGAGTGACAGCAGTAATGACAAGACGTACAGCTGGTGTCAAGAACGAATTCCTGTGGTAGATTGTTTACAAAAAAACCAATTCTGTCTAAAATAATGATTTGCAGTGATTCTTTATACACACACAGCTGTGACTTTTGCTGGATGAGTAATGAGCTGCATGGTTCTTTTCAAATTGGTAGCCGATGTCTGACCTGCAATATCATCACCGCTCGGTCTTTTATCTCTCGGCTGCACCTGTGTACAGTATCTGCCCCTGGTGCAACGAGGCTCTGAGGAATGTCCATTGAAAACAGGGGTGAGAAAAGATAGGTGGCCTTAATGAGACTTTTAAAAGTGTCATTACAAAACGTGAATGTTCAGCTGCTGACAGATCTGACGTTAGTGATCGGTCCCAAACGTCGACCACAAAATGAAATGAAATGACTTTTAGATCACTCGCATGTTATCGTAGGACCTTATTTCAAGATTTTAACAAACGCGAGCGTGTGGCTTTTCAGCATGTAGCCAAGCAAAAAAAAAAGAATGAGAACGAATGTTTATATCATATGTGAATTAAATTTAGCGAGCAGTTAAGATACAGAAATTATATGATATTAAAGCACTTGTGAACCAGGCCAGAAACCACACAATCATTACATTTTTGTCTCAGATTCATTAAAACTGCTGCTTCATGGAATTATTCAAAGCCAGCTGCCATTCATGAACAATTCGACTTGAAGGACCAGAAACCAAATAAACTGCAGTTACCCTGTGAACAGTTATAGGTAAAATGATACCATAACTGTTTTCAAAAAAATAAAATTACCTTTCATTATGGGAAAGTGCAACCTTCAGAGTCTGGTCAGAAACCATTGGAAGGAAACATCTAATTACTCCCAAAGCAATCACTTTTGTGAACTGCAACTGGAACTGATTTCCACCCACTTGTGATTAAATTAGTCATGAAACTGCTGCGGAAAATGAAAAGTTACCTGTGTGTGTGCGTGTGTTGAAACTGTGGTGTATCTCCCAGGCTTCGGGCCTTTGTGGTTAGCTGAGACTGTGGGTCCAGATCTAGAACCTGGGAATTGCTTTGAAACTCCCCAACAGACAGTCATCAATAACTTTGGGGGAGGGTTAATAAGAAGAGCATGTGAGGGCTGAGTCTGGGCAGGACTCCTCCACTTCAAGCACTGATCTGCGGCCAAAAATGTGGGCCTCCATTCGAGTAATCATGAGCAGCTCTAAAATACCTCACACAAAGGACAACAATAACATTGCTGAGTCGCTTTGCATGTGTGTCACGTAATGAGAAGCTGGCAGAAGACGAGCTGCCTTCGGAGCACTGTGATTAGAATATAAATAGAAGAGGATATCCGAGGATGAAACATTTACTTTAAAAGAAACCTGGAAGTGTTCAATGAGCAGCGTTCTGCTTGTGCAGGACTTTTACACTCCATTTCTTTCAATACTTTTACATTTGCCTTATGAGAAAACAGGTTTTGTTACAGGCTGACGAGGGGGACCACAGACCCACTGCCTGAAGGAGACAGAGCCTGGTCCGGTGTCTGAACCAGAACTCTGAGAGAAGTAAAAATGCAAGCAACTGAGGTCTGGTGGAAGTGTTTCCTCAGGGCCTCTCCCTCTCATAAACCACAGCAATTATCTTCCACAGCTCCAGGAATGTGCAGGAAAGGCTGCTCCCTGACCACTGCCGAGGTGAGAAGCACTCCGACGTCTGGGTGGCAGCACCAACACGAGCCAGCTGAGTCATATGGAGACGTTTTAAAAGAAAATACATCTTATCTGTGGAGATGCAGGACTCAACAGCTTCCCTTCTACAAACCTGTCCCCCCCTCCGCTCGCTCTCCCCACTCTGCCCCTTTGGTTTCATTTACATTTTGGAATTTGTCAAAACTGGGTCAGCCAAACTGTCTGTCAGCGTGCAACATTTATTTTACCAGGACTATATGGGATAGAGGCCAAATCTCCATCCCATGCAGCACAGTTTGGAGACTTTATCTTGTTATGCTCTGCATTAGCTGGGAGCTGCACTCATAGTTCAGACGTTTGCCCCACTGTACCCACGTGAGCTGGACCTGCTCTACTGCAAAGTCTGGAAAAGACTTTTAATGTAAATTCTTGTTCTAACATGTAACAGTAATAACATCGTCAATGATTTGAATTTCATGAGTGGAGAGTCCACACTGGATTCTGGGCAGTGAGACAGACAGCAGTCAACACTGACCTCACGATTTCTCATGTTCTCTTTACTGGTGGTCATTGTTGAAAGTCATCAGATATATTCAGGAATATTGTCGTCAAACTTTTACTCATAAAAAATACTTGGACCAAGCTAAGATATGGACTTACATTTTCTAACATACAGAAGGTTCAACACCACATAACACGTCCAACATTCCTCCTAAGTCAGCGTTGAAAGCAGCAATACTTTCAGTTTAGCAGTAGTTCTCATGACCACCTGTATGTGATAGTGGTTCACTTGCAGTGATGAACCCACAGAGAAACATCACCCTTATTTCAGTTGCCCTCAGCTCTGCAAAACGTTTTACCTCCCTCAAGGAGGTTAAGTCTTTATTGCTGTTTGTTGGTCTGACTGTCAGCAGGATTATTCAAAAACAAAACAAACTAAAAATCTGTTCTGTCAGGCAAACAAGACCAAGTTGACTGACGGCCATGCACTTGATTTTCTTGATTTTCATAGTCTGCGTATTGCAGCATTGATACAGATCACCAAAAAAAGTTTGTTCTCTGATTACATCAGTTACTGAAGTTGTGTTGCAGGGTAGCAGTCTGTTGAAATAGCTGACATCGTTCAGGCAGCCATATTGAGCACCTACTCTGCCCAATTTGTAAACTTACAAGTTGATGAGGACGTTATGCCAAGAATATTTCCAAAACGAATATAAAACCTCAGGGGATCACTAGAAGCGGGCCTGAATGTTTCTGCCAAATTGAATGCCAATCAATTACACTCATGCTCAGATATTTCAGTCCGGATCAAGGCGGTGGACAGACCCACTGGCATTCCTATAGAGAACTGTTTTTAATGACACTTAGAAGATGTTAAAAATCTGGCAGATTTGTCTTTTATCATTGCTGAAAATACAATACAATAAAGACAAGCTTACTACTCAGGCCAATTAAACAGTCCTCAGTGTATATGAACTGGGGAAGACATGTTAGTGGGTTACGTTCCATTCGTTAATCAGCTAATCACCCATATACTACTGGAGCCAGACTAACCGGCCCTGACAGCCCGATGCAGTCACCAAACTGACTGCCAGACTTACATTGAGCCCCATACAATAAAACAACAGGGGGGGTGCATCCATTTTCTTACCTGGATACATGTCTGCCAGCATTTGACACAATTTACTGTGGGCCTCAGCCAAAACAAATTCCCTCAAGACAAACAAACAGACCTAATGGAACAACAGCATGAGGTGAGGCAGGGATGTCTTTCCAGTGTTTGGCTGAGTTAGCCCCACAGGCCCTGCAGACCTGCTGTACCACTGCAATGCTGAGCAGGGCAAAACAAGACTATTACACTATAAGGGGAATAAAATACTGAA